ATTGCAAATTCAAGGCCAGCCTCAGCAATTTAGTGAGGCTCTAAGTAACATAGAGAGACCCTGTCCTTAGCACCAAGTAAAAATAAATAAATGAATAAATAAAGATATTGTGTCCATTTACAACCAAAAAAAATTTTAAATAATACTTCATCTTAGTCTTTCTCATGGGTAATCCTATAAAATATTACTTTAATTTTGTGTAATATAGCCAGAGGAATGTGGAATTAATATTAATAGTGATTATAAGAAATTTATGTAATATTCCAGGTTTTCCAGTAAATAATTTTTTAATGAAGTTAAAACAAAAATTAGAAAAATAATGGCAATGACATTGTTTAAAATATCAGTATTCAGGCTAGTCACTGTGACACATACCTGTAAGATAGCTTTCTATGGGAAGACTGCTTGAGCCCAAGAGTTTAATGCCAGACTGGGCCACATTGTAAGAACCCCCTCCCCTCCAGAAAAGAAAGAATATGTCAATTTATTACATTCATAAAGTTCTTTACAGTTTTTCAGATCTCTTTGCTAGATGTCATTGTATTTAACTGCCATGGTATTTATGATGTAAATAGGGCTGGGGGTATTTGCTTTCTTACAGAATTAGTAAACAAGTCTCACCTAAGATGTTGATGGTAGAGCTGGGCCTGGAATCCAGATCTCTGTCACACTAGTGTTCCACTACACATCCAGACAACAGTTCAGTGATTTGACAAAGTACCTTCAACTCGAAATAATTAAGTGAATGCTGGATTCATACCTGTTGATTCCCCAGGCTTGTTTTAGTGCAGTTAAGTTTAAGGGCAGAAAACTGGTGAAAAGTTTCCCATTCCTGCCTGAATTATTTGAGGCCATATGCTCATTGATATAGGCAGGATGTCTAGTTTGTAAAATGGAAATAACCTCTTCTTCTTTTGATCACCCAAGAACTTTGATTGTGGGCTGAGTAGTAATTCATAGGGAAGAGAAAATAGAAAGTGTAAGACGTGAAATGCTGTGAACAGGCGCTATAACCCAATATCACCAGGTAATTCTCAGTGTGATGTTTATTACTACTTCATTCATATAAGTAGAAGCCAAACCATTTTTATATAACATCTTGTCTAGTTCATTAATTGTTCTTCAATAAACTTACTATGCTTTCTCCTGTAACTCTTGTGCTAAATGAATTTACTGTTATTAACACTAACGTACAGTCAGAAGCAAATGTAGAACTGAGTAAATGTAGTATAGTGTTAAGAGTATTTCTGTGATTCTCTATTTGTAAACCTTTTCTCTTCAACTTTTTGTTTTTGCTGGGTTTTTGCCTCCAGTTTTTTTGTTTGATGGTTGTTGGCTTTTTGTTGTTGTTGTTTTGTGGTACTGGGGATTGAATCCAGGGGCACTTAACCACTGAGCCACATCCCCAGCTCTTTTTATATTTTATTGGATACAGTGTGTCACTGAGTGCTGAGGGCCTCACTGAATTGCCCAGTCTGTCTTTGAACTCAAAATCCTCCTGCCTCAGCCTCCTGAGCTGCTGGGATTACAAGCATTGCCTTTTCTCCAGTTTTAACTTGAAGTTTTCAAATCCACAGGAAAGTTGAGAAAATACTTGAACTAGATTAACAAATCGTTAAGATTTTTGCCACACTTGCTTTAATTTTCTCTCTGTGTATGCTTGCCTAATCATTTGAAAATAAGGTGCAGCAATCATTACATCTTACCCCATATACTTCAGCCTGCATCTCCTAAGAAGATATTCTCTCATGTAGCCAATAACACCATTGTCATTTCTAAGAAAAGTAATAATTTCATAATCTACATCACATTTCCCTCAATTCCTGTTGTCCCCAAAATCACTATTATAGTTTTTAAGTTCTAAACAAGATACATGCATTGCATGGGTTGTTAGGCCTCTTCAGTCTCCTTCAATCCCTTAGTCTCCTAATCTTATTTATACACACACACACACACACACACACACACACACACACACACATACATATATATAATTAATTTATTTTAGTTATAGATGGACACGGTACTTTTAGTTAATTTATTTATGTTTATGTGGTGCTGAGGATAGAACCCAATGACTCACACATGCAAGGCAAGCACTGAGCTACAACTCCAGCCTTCCTAATCCCTTTTAATCTATAGCAGTCACCAGTTTTGTTTTTTTAAAAGAAGGAACAAGAATACTTTGCTGTATAGTATTAATCATGCCAGATGATTATACATATGATCAGGTTATCTATTATTCAGAGATGCTAAATTTAATTAGTAGTAGAAATTTGGGTCTCCCTCACACAAAGTCCAAATTTAATGTTGTAGGAGTTTTTTGAGGGTTTTTTTTTTTTTATTGTTTTGGTTTGGTTTTGGTATTGGGGATTGAACCTAGGGGTGCTCTACCATTGAGATACATCCTCATCCATTTTTATTTGAGATAGTCTCACTAAGTTGCTTAGGGTCTCTCCAGGTTTCTTCTTTTTCTTTTTTAAATTTTTTATTAGTTATTGATGGACCTTTATTCATTTATTTGTTTATATGTGATGCTGAGAATCGAACCCAGTGCCTCACACATGCTAGGCAGGTGCGCTACCACTGAACCATAACCCCTCTCTCCAGATTTCTGAGGCTGACCTGAAACTTGGATCCAGCTGTAGTTTTTTCACTAACTATACAGCATTATTTTAAAATATTTTTTAGTTGTAGGTAGACAAAATACCTTTATTTTATTTTATTAATATGTGGTGCTGAGGATCGAACCCAGGGCCTCACACGTTAGGCAAGCGCTCTACCGCTGAGCCACAACCGCAGTTCCATATTATTTTAATTTTTAAAAGATCTTATGTAAGAGCAGTAATTATTCTGGTTTAGAAATAATGGTGACTGTAAATTGCTGATGGGGTAGTATTCATTCTGTCTTCCCCAAAGGCTGCTCTACCAACTTTTTCCTCCTACCTTCTTCTTTATGTAAAATGGAAATAACCTCTTTTTCCTTTGATCACCCAAGAATTTTTATTGTGGACTGAATTCATAGGGAAGAGAAATTAGAAAGTGTAAGACATATGAAATGCTAGGAAATTTTTGTGGTCTAGCTGCTAGTAAGCACCTAAAGCTAGAGATAGGTATAAGTAAACATTTATGGGCTGGGGTTGTAGCTCATTGATAGAGTACTTAATTAGCATGCAAAAGATCCTGTGTTCAATCCCCGGAACTACAAAAATAATAACAATATTAAACATTTATGATCTAGGCATAGTGGCACACTCCTGTATAACCCCAGCTATTTGAGAGGCTGAGGAAGGAGATCACACAACTGAGAACCCTATCACAAAATAAACTTTTAAAAGGTTGGGGATGTAGCTCAACGGTAGATTATTGCCTGGCATGTGCAAGGCTCTGTGTTCAGTCCATAATACCACAACAAATCAATATATAAACATTTATGGAGGGAGAATAACAGTAAAATGAACATTTATTAATCCATTACCATGTGTCAAGACCCAAGCCAAGTACTTTTTATGGATTGGGCCAAGTACTTTATATGGATTAGTTACTCTGACCCCATTAGGTAATAAGCAATATTGTTTCCCCACTTACAGACTAGGACACTCAGGCATAGAAAGGTCAAGGACCTTGCCCAGGGACCAGCAGCAAGTAAGTGCTAGAGCTAGGGTTCAAACCCAAGGCTGATTAACTCTAGAACCCATTTTTATTCCTGTGCTGTGCAGCCTTCATTATTGTGTACCAGGTATTGTACCTAACACTGTCTCATACATTTCTTATATAATTCTCACATCAACCTGTAAGAACAGTCTCAAATAGGGCATATGATATCTGAACCATTTATCCTATTTTGTGGTTCTCTCCCATGTTTCAGCCAAGGTCTTTAACAGCAGAGTGGTTTGTCCAGCGGGGTCCCTTTTCCCACTCCCCAGCACCCACATAAACAGGAATCATGTGCTGAAAATGAAACCAGGTGGCAGAAGCAGCTGCACAAGCAAGAGAAGCCTGATCGGGTCCACATTAACCAGATGACAGGAGTGAGAGCCTTCATTTACAGTTCGGGGGACCATCAGTGTGAACTGGGATGACAGTGAACCTGAAATAAAGGTCGTTGAAATAAGACTGATTTTCTAAGGGAAAGTGTTTCCTTATTGTTTTTCCCTCTCACCAGAGAGGATGTGGCAGTCTTGTTATTCAAGTAACTTCAAACCAGTGGTCAAAACCATGAAGAAATTTCTGAAGGAAAGTGTGATTTTTCATAGTTTTTGGTGACCACTTTTAGTTTCCTTTTCAGATTTTTTTTTAAACCATCATTACTGAGTCTATATGACTATAGCATAATAAACAGAGGAGTGCAATTTGCCCACGATGGTCGAGGGAGCAAAGTGATTTTATCATTAGAGGTCAGCTGTACAGTTATTTTTAATATGATAAAGTACTGTATGCATTTTTGCAGTATGAAAGAATCTATGTTTAGGACAAATTTTTCTCATGGAAGTCCACAAACGCTAACTTAACCTTTGGTTACGTTATTTCTTAGCATTTCCATCTATAAAAAGAAAGTAATATTACCTATTTCCTGGGATTTTTGTGAGGATTAATTTTACATACACACATGGGATGGGGTATATTTCATGATAGAGTGCTTGCCTAACATGCACAATGAAATCAGGCTTTGATCCCCAGCACCAAACAAAATTTATACACACACACACACACACACACACACACACAGTGTAGAGGAGAGCATGACACAAAGTAGCTCTCAGTGTAGAAGTAATTATTATCATTTATATCATTGAATTTAGTGTTCTCACATGATATGGGTCTGGGAATCTTCCCTGAATTAGGACACTTGGCCTATTAACCCAGGAAAACAAACATTCTAGACACTGCCTGACTCTAGCCTAAAATTAGAGACATAATCTCCTTTAGTGACCCACTCTGGTGCTGGCAGGAGGTTCATACTGCCATGGTGCTTGTCACAATCTGTCTTTCTTTTTCAGGTGGTTAGCTCAACCAATGGAGAGCTGAATGTTGATGACCCCACAGGAGCGCACTCCAATGCACCAATCACAGCTCATGCCGAGGTGGAGGTAGTGGAGGAAGCTAAGTACGTTCATATGTCAAGGGGGTTCTTGAGTCATGGATTGGAAAATCTTTTCTGTCTCCTCCTCTCTGTGTACTGCTCATCTCAGACTTGGATTCTTCATGCTGCTGTCCATAGCTTTCTTCCCTTGTTTTTTGCATGCTATCTTAAGGCTGCTGCTGCCCTTCTTTAGCTGTGATTTATGGGACAATAGTCAAGTTTTTCTAGTCCACCTGGTGCAAAGGATATAATGAACTATAAGAATTACATTGTAAGGGCTACAGCAGATACTAGCCATGAGCCTCTGGGAGTCCTAGAGTTTCATACTTCCTATGAGGGGGGAAAAAAAAAAACTTTTAAACCATGAACTGTGCTGAACAGCATTAAATTTTTGATTGTTGGCCAACAACCGTGGGTGTTCAGTTCTGGAACAAGGGTTTCAGGGCTCTCAAATGATTCTGGAGACTTAAGACAAGAAAAATAGTTTGCACCTGTGAGTGTTTTGGAAAGGAAGGGAAGTGACCCTAATCCCAAGAAGGTGAGGCAGTTACCCTCATGCCTTTTTCTGCTTCTCTTGCATGTATATGTCTTGCTCTGCCCATATCACCAGTCCCTTGGTGCTATCTGCATGGTCTGTGTTTAAACTCTTAAATTCTGGGATGGAAGGTGAAATAATTGCTGATTCTGCTGCAAACGCAGCATTTTGCCACTTCTATCCCTTTTTTCTGGGAGGGTTATGCCAGCAGACCATTTTTAGTAAGGAAACATATCTCCTATTCTCAGGAACTTTGGCCATGTTTGGGAACTCAATTTTTCTTCCATTCTCCTCAATAAATATTAAGGTATTCTTACCTTCTGGGTTTTAACCCTGGCAGCACTTTGGAGTCACCTGGGACATGTTAGAAAATACAGATGCCCGAGTCTGGCCCTAGAGATTCTGATTTGTTTATTGGAATCTGGCCTGAGCATGAAAAAATTTAAAAGTTCATGTAGTTCTAATGTGCAACCAAGGTTAGGAACCATGAAGCATGATCTGATCTTGAAACACAGCCATATCTATAACTACCTCTACCTCCCACTCCTAGTTCACACTTGTGGCTGTTGCTTTTAGAAGTTCTACTCTGAATTTAATATTATACTTTGAATACAAAGATCAAATGGACTTTAGTCTTATGATATGCCTAATATAGATTTATTTTTTGAACCCATTCATCTCATTTCATTTTGGTAAACGTGTACAGTAATTGTGTATGTGAGTATGGTGTTTGTGTCTTGTGTGTAAGATAGAGGGCCATTCACATAGAGTTCAGTTTGGTGTATTCTGTTGTGGTAAAATCCAAATTCTAGAATATAAAGAGAGTTTAAAGTCTTCCCATGTAACAACAAAGACCACTGTGCATCTTTGCCACCAGTTCCAGGTTTGGGCCTTCTGAAAGGTGTAGAAGCCAGAAGGGGAGCCATTGTATTTGACCAGTCTTCCAACAGCTTATGGAATAGGGCATTTTGTTTGCTATTTCCCTGATGATTTTATGTGCTACCAATCCATCTTGTGTAGGGAACTGTCAGGGCCCAGCCATGTGTTGTTATTCTTGGCCCTCTGGGGGTGGTGGGGCAGGGACAGGGTAGCCATGTGTCTACTTGCTTGATCATTCTCCTGGGAAGAAGTCTCAGCTAGAGAAACATGAGGCGTCTTGAAAAACCCCTCATTGCATGCAGCTGGGATGCCATTTGTTCATGCAGCCTGTTTATTGGGTAAGGGGCGCTGTTGCCTATATTAAGATTTGTCTTGGGTATTGGGAGACTGTGACACCTTCACTTCCAAGCTTTTGAATTTGGGTTCCTCATCCAACTTGTTTTCTGTGAAGTGAAAATATAGGATTTTGGTTTTTGTTCTGTGAGCAAAATGAACATTTGGCTTTCTTTTTTCTGTTAGCTGCAGGACACATGTCCTTGTTTAAGTATGGTTGGAAGGGTGAGGAGGGCAAGCAGCTTTTCAGTTGATTTTTTGTTATATAAGTACACAGGCATTTCAAGTTATCTAGACTTCAGCTGTGACCTTATAAACCTGAACCTCATTTCTCCTGAGAATTAATAAGAGTAGATTTAGGCACTTCTCTGGTGGTTATGACCACAGCAGTGACCATCCTCCCTCTGGTTCATCTGATAAGATAAAGTGTCTCTTAAACCTTTTCTCCCTCTCTGGAGCAAGAGTTAACTGCTAGTTGCTTTAGTCAGGCATGTTGTGCTTGTAGAAAGCAAGGGACTTCTTTTTCCCTCTGTGTAGGAGAGGATAGCTCAACATTGTACAGGAAGACCTCGTTCGAGAACCAAATAGCTCAAGTGTGCCTGAATGAGTTGTTACAGGCAGGGTCATTTGCTCTTTCCCCTGCCACCTTCCTGAAAGTTGCTCAAGAAAGGCTATCCTGGGACTTCTACCAATTCTTTCTGTTTTGCCTTCCCCCTAAGATCCACTTCCCACCTTGTTGCTTCTGTCAGGCTCCTGCCCCCTCAACTTTAATGTGGAAACAAAGTGGTCTACTCAGCCTACCTCAACAGGAAGAAACTAAACACAGACACATACTGCATGTTTGCATGGCTCACAGGGAGTCGCTTCCATCTCATCTTTGTGGACTAATATCTCTCTTTCTTTCTTTCTTCCTTTCTGTGTTTTTTCTCTTTACATACTCTGTAGCTGCCTGAAAATGCTCAACCTGTGGTGAGTCCCTCTCTCTAGTACACATGCAAGGGGAGCGGACCAGACTAGGCTGGGATTGGCAAAGCCAAACAAAATGCTTTAGGAAACATAAATGGCTTCCATATGCCTCCTGTGCCATAACCACCCAGACTGGGGAACTAGATCCACAAAGTAGGGGTGGGGCAGGCCTACACCCAGAAATTAATCTGTTCCTTCTTTCTTTTTAAACCTACCTCATTTTTCTCTGCCACCTCTGCAAATAACATTCCACATTATCCAAAATTGTCTTTTTTTATTTTTGGCAGAGCAAATTTTCTCCCAAAATAATATGGCCAGGTATTATTAAAGGGAGAGAGACTGAGGTAAAAAAAGGTTAATATAGCAGTTGTTCAGGTATCAGTTGTTCCCTTGCCAACCACAAGGATTGATGTTGTTACCAGATAATTTCACATTCTGCAATTGGGTTTCTAACTTGGAAATTGGCCGCTCTGGAAAAAAAAGTATCTTTTTTTCTTTAGCTAATTCTTCTATCTGTAGAGTGGGAGTCTCAAAAAAGAACCCCTTAGGGAAAGATGGACATTTTATTGTTGTTGTTTTGGGGGTTATTTTGTTTGTTTTCTGTTCACTTTCTTTATTCCTATGAGAGTATAGTAGGCCAAGGGCTGACTCAGCTGATGGAAATATTGGAGCCTGTCACTTCTCCCAGAGAAGGCTTCTCGAATGCTTTCTTGGCAACAACAGGGGGTATATATGGAAATGGAACACCTAAAGGATTCATTATCGGTGACAAACATTCTTGCTGCAAGATAGGGAACCCCCTAGCTCTCTTCCTGGACAATGCTTGTGATCTTCCAGGTGCTCCTGAACTTGCTGGTCTATTGCAGTCTGGAATTGAAACTCTCCCACATTGCCTTCATGCATAGGGCCACATTCTACACCATGATAACAGCCTGCTGGACTCTGACTACCTCATTTTTATTTTCTTCAGTGATTGGGTTGGGCACTGGTTTCTGATCCCTAACTGTTCTAGGCCAAATTGCCTACAGGGCTTTCCTAGGGATGGGAATGTATTAAAGATAACAGTTGGGTTTTATGGAGGTAGGATTTATATTCTTATGGTTTCAAAGAGCACATTTGGCCTATTCGTTTTGCGAATATGTGTCTGTGTAATTTGACATTGTTGTGGTCTATATTTTTCCTGTGAGATGTCAGTCACATGATCCTGTTGAAAATTCTTGCAGTCTTGTTGTGCTCATCAAAACTTGTACTTGGGCTGGGCATGGTAGTGCATGCCTGTACTCCCAGCAGCTTGGGAAGCTGAAGCAGAGGGGTTGCAAGTTCAAAGCCAGCCTCAGCAACTTAGCAAGGCATCAGGCAACTCAGCAAGACCCTGTCTCTAAGTAAAATATAAAAATGGGCTGGGGATGTGGCTTAATGGTTATACAGCCCCTGGGTTCAATCCCTGATACCAAAAAGAAAAAACCTGTACTAAGAACTCTAAGTTAGAGTCTCAAGGTCTGCCTGGAGAGATAAGACATGATATTAGGTGAAATAACAAGGAATTCTCCAGTACACTTACATTATCATTCCTAGAAGGCTGAAGGGGCCAAGAAATCACTGTGAATGGTCAAGGAAGACTTCATTGGCATAGCAGAACTCAAGCCAAGTTTTAGAGGAAAGAAAGAATGTGCAGGTATGGCAGAGAAGAGGAACATAGCGGAGTAGCTGAAGGGAAAGAACAGGACACAGTAAGAGAGTGATATGAAAAGGGTAGTTAGTCAAAGAACTGCAGGAATAGTGCCTGATGGCTCCTCAGGAGTCTTGGATCAGTTTTTGCTCTAGCATATTAAGAACCTCTTGTTATTCAAATTATCAAAGAATCAACTGGAAAGACACAGAGGTATTGATCACCTGGCCTGATTTTCTTCTGAAAATAACACACTGGTATGAAGTCACTCAGTGGACTTAGTCTGGAGTCTAGCCCAGTTTAATGGGTCCTGTTGCTAGTCATTACTGCAGAAACCAAACAATTAAAGAGCAGGATGTAGGGCCTACTTCCTCATGAGTGGAATTGTTAATAGCTTGTGTTACTGCTGAAGCTTTAACTGTAATAAAAGTAAAAATTAATCTAGGGCTCTAAATTTAAAATATTGCAGTTCCTCTGAAGGACAGCTCACAACACTTCTCCACTCCAGCGATTACACACTGCACATCAGGTTATGGTATACCAGATATTAATTTGTTTGGTTTGCCTCGAAGGAGGTAAAAGAGAAGTCATTGTATGGCTTGATGTGGGCCAGTATTTCAAACATTTTTTGATTCCTTTTATTTATTTTTTATTTTTGTTTATTTATTTTATACTTGGAACTGAATCCAGGAGCACTCTACCAGTGAGCTATATCACCAGTCCTTTTTATTTTTATTTTAAGATAGGGTCCCACTAAGTTGCTGAGGCTGGCCTTGAACTTGGGATCCTCCTGTATCACCTTCCTGAGTTGCTGGGATTATTAGATGTGCGCCACCACTCTTGACAACTCCTTTTATTTAAAAACACAAAATCATCATTTTAGCATCCTCCAAAGAAAATAAGAATAGAAATTAACTTAAAAGTTAGTTGGGCTGGGGTTATGGTTCAGCAGTAGAGTGCTCACCTAGCATGTGCGAGGAGGCCCTGGGTTCGATCCTCAATACCACCCACATACAAATAAATAAATGAAATAAAGGTTTTTTAAAAAAAGTTAGTAATACCTGTGAAAATCATGGTTCAAAAGGATCAGTAAGACTATTGAAATATTAGGGATCCCATGAGATTAACTTTGCCTCTTTAAATATTGCTGGACATTCAATTTGGTCTTACTCTAATACACATACATACATACACACACACACACACACACACACACACAGAGAGAGAGAGAGAGAGAGAGAGAGAACAAGACCAGTTTTTTTCTTGAATTCTTCCTCAGGGTTTCCACTGAAGACTATCTTAAGCCATCAGAAGTGCTGGTCATTTATATTTAAAAGAATTTATTCTGTTCTCGAATCTGTGTGACACTTTGGTTAGTAATTATATTTGCACCCATTAATGGTACTTTTTTTTCCATAGGAAAATCTCTTTGCTATTTGTTATTTTTAGTTATACATGACATTAAAATGTTTTTGACATATTACACATACATGGAGTATAACTTACTCAAATCAGAATCCCATTCTTGTTGTTAAACATGATGTAGAGTTATACTGGTCATGTATTCATATATGAAAATAGGAGAATTATGGTTTATTCTACTGTCCCATTAGTGGTATTTTAAAATGTCATTGTTATGCTCAAAGAAAATTTGTTAGGAAACTCTCCTTTCCAAAATTTGCAAGTTTGATTTATTCAGATATGGTTAAAGCACATCATTTTCTGTGTAAATATTTATTTCTGCCTTCTAAGGAACGTTCTCCAAGTTTGTTTTGTTTCATTTTGGTTTTGGTACCAGCGATTGAACCTAGATGTGCTTAATGCCTGAGCCACATCCCCCATCCTTTATATTTTTTTAATTTTGAGACAGGGTCTCACTAAGTTACTCAGGGCTTTGCTAAGCTCCTGAGGCTGGCTTTGAACTTGAGATCCTTCTGCCTCAGCCTCCTGAGTTGCTGCGTCTCTCAAGTTTTTATTTATTTATTATATGGTGCTGAGGATTGAACCCAGTGCCTCACACATGCTAGGCAAGCACTCTACCACAGAGCCACAACCCTGGCCCTCCAAGTTGTTAATAATTCCATCAGATGTAGTAATACCACAGAATATAACTAAAACAAGAGGTAATCTTAGTTAGTGTGGAGAATTTAGGGGTATGGGAAGTGAAAAATAATTCTGTATTTCCTTATCTATATTCTTGGCATTTATCCTAGAAGGATTATGCAAGAGACTTAAACTTTTCTTCTCAGAAAAGCTTTTCTTTCAAGGATCCAGCAAGTCTGAGCTACACTTCGAACTTCACTCCCCTCCATCATTTGGCATCATTGACTCATCCACTGCCTTCCGCCCCTCACATTCTCATTTCCCATGTATCAGTTCCTTGTAGAGAGCATATCTTTTGCCACCAGCATTGCCAAAGCCCTCATCACCCCATTCTGGATTGCCAAAGCAAGAGTGATGCTTCTTAAGCCAAAGCTGGAGTGAGGAAGGGATACTGAGGCTTAGGGAAGTGCCAGAAGTGTACCTGTTCCCCAGGAGATGGCATGAAGGGAGTAGGCCCCAACCTCTACCCTAAACAGGGTTAGTTCATAACTACATCTGACACAGCAGCAGCAGTCTCAGGAAGCTAAATAAGGAGTAACCTGCAGCCAGAGAACCTCCTGAGGATCAGCTCATGGGCTGAGGCAGTGGTCTCCTCAGAATGGAAAGGGGGCTATGCTGGCCTCAGGAGATAGGGGTTCACAGTTTTTGTTTAAGTCAGGGCTTCTCCTGCTTGTGCCAGGCATCTAGTGGGGACAGAAATGGGGATTGAGAGAATCACTAATCCTTTTCTTGGTTGCAATATGAGACCTTCTCAGAGCTCCATATGTTCTAAGGGATTTATTTGCATTAGTTTAGCTTTCTTGCCCACCAGCTAGTGAGTTGCATTAAATAATTTCCCCTCAATATCAAGGAGCAGAGAGTGCAGGCTAATTTTATGCAGCCTTGAGGACCCCCAGCCTCGTTCTAGATAAAGATGAGGCAGGTGGGTTGAGTTTTAAACTAGGAGAGACGCTGTCTTTACCCTTCTTCCAAAAAAATCCATGTTTCAGCCCAGCCTGACCTGTAGCATTTGAATAGTTATGTTGGGCAGATTGAAATTAAGCAACTATTTCATTTGGCTTTCCTGGCAGACACTGCCTGCTGCCTCCAGTGGGCGCACTGTAGATGGTGGGCGGCCTGTGGGTGGTGGGTACCAGAGAGGGAAACCCCACCCTGCAAGAAGCAGAAGCAGGCAGAGGTCTGCTGGAAACTGCAGACCACTAGCACTGATTTGCAATGTTCCTTGTGCTCCAGGTGCTGCTGTTTCTTTAAGAGGAAAAGGAAGAAGACTGCTCAGCGCCATAAGTGACCAGTGCCTCCTAGGAGTCCTCAGGCCCTGGGGACTCTTGACTCGATTGCACCTGCAGCTCCTGCCATTTCTCATTGGAAGGGACTCCCCTGTAGGGGAGGGTGGAGATCCAAACCAAAAAGAAGAAAACAGATGCCCCAGAAGGAGCCAGTGCGGGCAGCCAGGGCCCAGTGGGTCAGTTGCTGTCTCCGCCTGTCTGAGGCTCTGAGCAGGTCCCAGAGCTGCTGCTCCTCCACTGCTTGCCCTTGGGGCTACCTGGTTGACTCTCCTTCCCATTGTTTACAGTGAAGGTGTCATTCACAAAAACTCAAGGACTACTATTCTCTTCCCTCCCCTTCTACTTTACTCCTGGTTCTTGCCCCACCCTCAACCCTCTCCAGCATCAAAGCTAGTGAGCTAAATGCTGTGTCTGTAGTAGGAGCTCAAGAGGCTGGGGGTGTGGCCAAGAAGGTAGCAGGAAGATGCAGCCTGGTCCCAGAAGATCTTCTCCACTTCCCAGGAGTGCCTGGCAGTATGGCTTCCTCTCCCTCTGAGCAGCCTACAACCCAGCTGGCCCTAGGGTTCAGGTTTCTTCTTCCCTCCCTCCTATGAAGTTACACTGTAGGACACAAGCTGTGAGAAATCTGCAGTCTACTGTCCCCATGTGTTGGTGTTCTTAGCTTTTTTGACAAACAAATTCCTTTCTCCAGGCAGTAGCAGTACATGCAAATTGTTCTGAGCAAAGGAAAGAAAACTGACTTTATTGCACTTTTAGTTTTGTTTTAGTTTTTTTTTTTAACAAAAAAAAAAAAAAGAAGAAAGAAAGAAAAGAAAACATGGCAGATGCATATTGTGTCTGTTTTTTGAGGGGGTTTTGACTTTTTTTTCTGTTTTGAGGGGGATGGACCAGCCAAGCCATTCAGAGAAAATGTGGGTCCAGAGGACATTCTCAATGGAAACAGTTTGATCAGCAGCACCCAGAAGAGAAGCCAAACTCTGTGTCATTCTGAGTGAATACTCAGGTTGGCAAGAAAACATACTTGAATTTTATTCATCTTCTCAGCTGCTGAAGAATGTCCCTACCAGAGCCTCTTTACCTAATCAGCCTGCAGTTTGAAATCCTAGCTCTCCAGGATGGAATGAGCAGCCAAGTCAGACCGTGACCAGGAGACAGCTCATCCCAGTGAAGGAGATGCTTAACAAAAAAATATCTGAAATGTCTGTTTCCTCCACTGCCAGGGACTTCCTATTATAGCCATGTGACTTTTTGGTGACAGGATTAGTGATTAAACAGCCACCACTGTATTGCCACTATTGGACAAAAAGAAGACAGTGAACTGCCTTCCAAATGCCAGAGAAGCCTCAGGATGTGGCATCATAGGGCCAGGAAAAGCAAATGATAGTGTGTCCTGTCTGCCCCAATGGCTGAGTTATAGCATTTGGTCTGGACTGCCTTATCAGAAACTAAGCCCATGAAGTTCTTTTTGAGCAGGTCCACAGTAGCAGGCTTAGAACTCAGTGCATGGGGATGCAGTGAAAAGGAGGGTAAGATTGTTTGGTGCTGGAAAATTCCAGGAAAAGGGGGCCTGAATGAAATGTCTAAAATTATATTCTCAATGGGATATAGACTCCTTCCAGATAAGATAGTCGAGCATATAAGCTTGTATTCCCAGTACACCCTCTACCTCCCACCTCCCACCTCCCACCATGATCTAGTCACGTGACTTATTACCAAAAAGCATCTAGGTTTCTCATCCTCTGTTTGAAAAGTTAATGTGTGAAGTTAATCTTCCCATGTTAGATTTTCATTCAAGTTTAGTGGCTTTTCAAATGACTCCTCTTTCCAAATGTGACAGAAGAGAAAGGGTGATATCAGGGAAAGTGGTCTTGATCTGGGAGTAAAGAGCTAACCGTGAAGAATAATGGCGAATGACTTGGTGTGGTGATTTGTGGTGCAAACCACAGAAATTTTCACCTCCTGGCTTGAGGTGTAGGGGCTGTTTTTTGGACTGGAAGTTGCGGGGATACTTTCTAGTAGTTGGTATTTCCTGACAAGTCCCTTGATGTACCCCATGTGGAGCAGAGATAGCAGCATTCACATGAATCAGACTTACTGGGCTTCACCTCTTCCATTAGACCTTGGCTAGGGAAAAACATTTCACTGGCTTCAAACCTGCTTAATTTATGTAAAGATTGTAACCTCTCATTTCTTGAAAAGAAATATTACTGTATATGAAACAGTGGCAGGGAGAGGCAAGTGTCCATACCCATTTCCCACAAAGATTTTGAAGATTGGGGTATACTTCCTTGCCATTACCTAGTGGTTGGAGCCCATCACTAAAATTTAGTCTCTCATTTGGTATTTGAGCAACTCTAACTTCCTGTACAGAAAATTTAACTTCTTCACCCCTGTATAGAAATGCCTTACCTCTCAAGGGAGGGCAGGGGAAATAGTGGCAAAGCCTGGAGCATCTGGGCACACTGTATCCCACAAAGTGCCTCCCCCACCCCACTTCCACAAAACAGCGTGGCTGCAGGGCAGGCTGCCTTTACAGCTGGGTCTGTGGCTTTTTTTTGTCTTAAAATTTTTTATAGGCTAGCTCTTGAGGGGTTGAACCTGAGCAGTTGGCGGTGGGGGGGGGGGGGTGTTGTGGGTGGGGTCCTTCCTGATGCACTGTTCTCACCCTCTAGCCCTCATAAAGCACTTAGATACTGGTTTCAGAAGAACCCCGGGTCCCTTTAGCATGCAGGGTAATGGTGATCCTTCCAAGGCTATGACACTCCAAGGTGGTCCCAGATCTGAGAGATTCTATTATTCCCTAAGAAAAACAAACCAAAACAAAAACTGAATAACCAAGAAGCAATTTGGCCATCAGTTCCAGCCCCGCTGGTTGCTGCAGTTTGGCTTTATGTCTCAGCCAGATCCTTAAAGGATAGACACTCCTTCCCCATCTCCCACACCCTCCAAATCCACTTGTTCTAATTTTTTTTTTTTTTTCTTCTGGTTCTGGGGATTGAACCCAGGGCCTTATGCATACATGCAAGGCAAGTACTCTACCAACTGAGCTATATCCCAAGCCCTTGTTCTGAAGTTTTTAACTTTTCTCCTTTTCACTCACAGCTATGATGCCAGAGGCCATTTTCTTTGGGATTGATGCAAATTCTTTGGGATTCCCCCTTAAAGCTAACTGAACATCTGTTCATAAAAACGCATTAAGAGTTATCAGCCAGGTGCAGTGGTGCACTTCTGTAATCGCAGCCACTTGGGAGGCTGAACCACGAGGATCACAGGTTCCCAGCCAGCCTGGGCAACTTAGACCCTGTCTCAAAAAGGCTGGGAGTTTACCTCAGTAGTTGGGTACCCCTGAGTTCAGTCCCAGGAGTTCTCTCAAGCTCTCCTCAGACACTGTAGCCTGAGTGGATCAAGTCAATCAGGCAGGATTCCACTAAGTGTGCTCTACTTGTGACTGGACCAGAATTTGTTCCTGTGCAAGCTAATCATGTAAGGGGGAGTGAGTGTCCCAGCAGCCAGCATGAGTTCATGACTACCTTAATTAACATTCTTCTTGGGGTATGAATGGTGTAAACAGGGTCTAGGAAGGTATAAATCGGGTGCCTAGGTGAGCCTTCCGTTAAAATTGCATTTTACTTTGGAATGGGTGAGCTGCAGGAGACCAGAGAGATCCTGAGGTTTCTAACAGAAGTGTTAGTTTCCTGTTTATTTTTCAGTGAACTCCAAGCACACAGAAATAGTCCCTGCTCATTGGCCAAATGGGGTTTCCATCAGCCCTAAAGGAATTTCCAACTTAGTTCACTGGAAATGTATGCTGGTAGTGCTTTTTTCAGTGTTAGTAGTAACTGCCTTTAATGCCAGAAATCTACAGTATGCTAAAAGTGGTTACTAATGAACTTCGCCTTAACTTTTTGTCAATGAAAAAGATATAATCCATTCCACCTCTCCATGAGCAAGCATGACCTGCATTTCTCAAAAATAAGAAAAGGCATCCTAGAAAGCATCTCCTCAAAAGAACTTGATATTTCTTCTTAAGCATCTCTCCCAAACCTACATGCCTCCTGTGTCCTAGACATCCCTTCCATTTTCATATTTAAGCCAGTTTTCCATTCTCATTGAGTTACCCTGACACTGTTGTCTCTAGTGTCAGAGCCATGCTAAGGCTAAACTTTCTTGGATTAGGAGTTTGCAGGGCCAAATAGCCAGCATTGCCTTTGCTAGGCCACTGCCATCATTGCCCCAAGATATGCTGATGAATTCCAGAGACCCTTAGGGAGCCAGGATAACAGGTACTCTGTCTGGATTGGCCGTGTGGGTGACAGGCACTGGGGTTCTTGGCTTTGCAGACTAGGGAAGTCCCATGTAGAGGTTGATAACTGCAACTCCTGTGATGGGCTGTTAGGAATTAAATTGGGATTCCTTTGGGTTGGGGTGTTTTGGTTTTTGAGGGGAGAAGGTTGGTTCGTGTTTCTGCGTAAGAAAAAGAAGTAACTATGGCCCCTCTGTGGGTGTATAGAGTTTTTGAGCAGTGTTTTAGCTACCAGTCGTGAGAGTCTGACCCAGTAAGCAATCTTAAAAAATATTTTTCCTGATTCCTTTTGCAGGTGAGTAAATGCAAAAGAATAGGTTTCTCATTGTATTCTGAATAGTAAGTAGGTCCCTGAACATAGGTAATATAGTTGACATATTTCTTAAAAACCAACCAGGAAATCCACTCCAGTATTTGTAGATCAGCATACAAAGGAAAAAGTAAATATGTACTCCATTTTTTTTTTTTGATTACCAAATTTGATGTCACAAAGAAACCTCAGTTGTGTGGACAGAGTTTCATTTTTTCCTCTTTTATTCAGTCACTTGCTAGTGCCATTACCACCTTCAAGGTCTCAGAGCAGATAATTATTCACAGTAATAAATGGGGGTACAGTGCAGTCATTCCAGTAACCTGAATAAGAGGACCACTGTCCCAACTGCCCCCAAGCCCCTCTTTCAGGATAGGTGAGACATTTTCAGTGTTCTCTTTATGAGCTCCAGACCAAATCCCAGGCCAGCCCTTGCACCAAAAGGCTTTTTGGAAGGCTTATCAATCTGTTAGGAATGTTTCAGGAAAGATGAGCCATTTCTTTGGGGGGAAATATATTTACAGATGGGTGTGTGTGACTGCATGTGTGTGCGCTCATCTGTATGCATTTCACTTTCATAAAGACTCACCACCCGGGCTGCTGGGAACCTTGTGTTCCTGGGTATTCTCAGAGGTAAAGCCATAGTGAGCTTCTAAAATCAGTGTCTCAGCAAGCTGGCTCTGGGAATGAGCCCCATTTATCAAGCAGAGAGAAGAGTAACAGCAAAGAAGATAAGAGATGAAACCAAAAATATAAACTTCCCCCAATGGAAAATAATGTTGATTCAGCAATTCCCATTGAAGATATTACATACTCTAATTTATTATATTATTATTTGTCTGTTTCTTCAATCTTTGCCCACTGTACTCTTAAAAAGATGTTGGGATTTTGATTGCAATTTTTTAAACTAGATAATGTATAAATCAGCTGAGGAAATGAGTTTTAATTGATGTGTGAAAGTGTATGAATATTAAATGCCTTGTTTTTTTTTTTACTTTTTTTTAAGTATGTAATGTTTCATAAATCCTGGCACTGGTTGCAAAGCTCAGCTGTGAAGATGAAACTTGTAGTATTTTAAAACATGAATGTCAATTTCAAAATGTATTTGAAATGGTTCCTTCGGGAGAGATTTGTAGACCATTGGGGAAAACTCCTCTGCAGAGGAAGTAGCCTTCTTTGGAGAAAATGGAAAATGGGTCCTGATAATGTTATCTCAGAGTGGCCCATTTCCTAGGGCACCATGGAAAACACAAATGTGATCTTTAAGTATACCTCTTTCCCAGTTTGGGGAGGAAAGGACTCAGTTTGCACCCTTTTTGTATGTAAAATAAAATGTCTTACCTTTCTTGACTACTTTTACTTGTTTGTTTGGTTCATCGATTTATCTGTTTTTAATGACCTGTAGCTCACTTCTAATTAGGAATCTTAGGCTAGGACTAAATTTGATGTGATTCAGTGCTCCCATGAACAAAAATGCCAGATACGTAGGCATTCTTGCTTCTTTCTCTTGGGTTGAACATTACCCTCTCTGTGAGTCACTTCAAAAACAAGTATTCCTAGAACTTAAAGAAATTCTTACTCAGCTAAGTTCCTGTATCCTGTGGTTCTCAGATGGTAGAACAGCCAGAAGTCAGATTTTACTCTGTGTAACAATTTTTGGAAGTTTTAGAATTCTGCACTACCAATGAGGAACATGTGTTTAGACAGAAGATATCCATTGTGCAATGTAAAAGAACATGCATACATGGCAAACAAACTGCCTATGTATTAATGCGATTTATTTTTTCAGTGGTAGGCAAGTAGCAGAAAACACATATAAAATTATGAGAGAAGCTTCACGGTAAGGGCATTTTATCCATCAACTTGATTTCTTTTTTCTTTTGAAAAGGGGTGGGGGAGAGACTGCTTTTATGCCATTTTAGCCTTAGCTCCTAATGTACAAGACACCACTTTGAACACATGGTTTAGTAAACCTTTTCTCAGTGGCTATGGGTAGGGTTAGACCTAGGAATGGGGAAATAGACAAACCTTCATTACACACACACACACACACACACACACACACACACACACAGGGGTAGGAAGGTGAATTTGGAAGATCATTGTCAGTATTAACAATTTTACCTTGAACAATCTCCACCGGATTGAGGTGGTCTGGATTGAGGTGCAAGGAAATAGCAAACATCGTTTGTGTTTATAAAGAGAACAGTCTTGAAATTCTACAACCTGACTACAGTGACATCAGTTGTAAGGAAAGGACAAGTTAAGGAATTCGAGTGGCCATGCATAATTCAATCAAGTCAGTACTTAAGGCCAAATTGCATAATTCATTTATGGAAGTGGAGCCATGCCTACAATCTGGATGATGACAAACTAGAATTTCTAAAAAGTTAACACCATAGGTCCAAATTTTAGAAAGATACGTGTCTGTTCTATTTTTCTAGGTATATAAGACTTAAAAACAACTTATGTTGTAGATTGGAACAACACCAAGCTTCTCTTACAACCTTGAATATTCCAGAGGGGGCATCTAATGACTGTGACCTTCATGAAGGCCTCTGGAAAAGTAAAGACGTCTCTCTCAGGCCTTTGCATATATTTCCCACTTCAATGCTAATATGAAGCTACCCCAACCATCAGTTTGAGCACTAGCAATAAGGAAGCTGAATACGATGTATCCAGTGCAATACAGTCCGTTACAACATTGGAGGGGGGGGGGGGATTGTGGTCTATTTTGGAAAGCATGCAAAGAAAAGTTAAGAACCAGAGTACAGTGGAGTGTGCATTGACTCATACAGCAGTAAGCGCAGAACTAAAGAAGGTAGAGAAAAATGACAGACTAAAGTGATACACTCCAAGTAAAAACGGAAGTAGGTTTTGAAGCAAGTTTTACAAGACAAGTAGAAGCTGTAGAAGATGACAGTGTGAGAATAAATGTGCCCTGGGTTTTTGGAAGCTACCACATTGAAAACCAACTTGGTAGCGCCCGACGCTCTGCCGACCCGCACAGACCGTGAGTGTTCTCGGCCCCGGCCCAGGCCACCGTCTTCCGGACACCGCACTCCGCCGCTACACGCTCGGCATGCCGGGGCCTGTAGTCTCTTCGGAGACCAATCCCCGCGCTCTCCCGGCATCACCTTCCGCCCACCGCCTTCCAGCAGCTAGGGGGACGAGCTGGGAACCCAATGAGGGAGCAATAACGTGGCAGCCACCCACAAGCCCGCCGGCCCCGCCCCCCGGGGGACTTACTACCTGGCGCCGAGGCGGAGGGGGGAAGCGGCACCCGCCCCTGGCTCAGAGGCTGGGAGCAGCCCCGGGCCCCCCCGCTCCGTGGCCGCGCCGGCCCACGCCGCCGCGTCCCCACCCTCTTCCGGCCCTGGCTGCCCGGACCGCGTTAGCTCCTGCCGGTGGATGCTGCGCCTCTCGGAGCGGAACATGAAGGTGCTCTTCGCCGCCGCCCTCATCGTGGGCTCGGTCTTCTTCCTGCTGCTGCCAGGACCCTCTGTGGCGGATGAGAAGAAGAAGGGGCCTAAAGTCACCGTCAAGGTCCGTGCGCGCCTCTCCCGCCCTGCCTGGCGCGGCCTGCGCTCCGCCGCCTGGGTCCCGTCGCTGGCCAGTGGTTCCCGGAGCATTTAGGGCCCGGGAGTTCGACCCTTGGCTTCTAGTGTCTTTGTCCTTATGGCGTCTGTGCCATCCAGACCAAAGAATGATCCGGACCCTCCCCAAATCCCCAACCCCACCCTGACCCGGGGAGTTAACTGGAGCCGGGGATGCCCAGCTGCTGCCGCCACTGGAGCAGCCCTTTTGCATATAACCTTGCGGTGCTGGAGAAATGGTGAAAGATCAAATCCGACGAATCCTTTCTCCTTGTAACATTTTAGCCACTTCCAGTTACAAAACACAGAGAAATTACAGCTTAAATTTACATGGTAAACTTGCAAGCCCCTTATGTGGCTTTCTTCTTTTTTATGTGAATATCTAGAATCTGGGCCCATTGTTTATTTAGAGTAAAGATTGGAGAGCATGGGGCGTGCAAACAAACACATTTTTCAAGAAGAGGGTTTGGAACTTCACAGGGTTTGGCCTCCACTGCTTTAAATGACTGCCCTCTCCCGTCCTCAGAAGAGCTTCTTGGGCCCTTCCTTACCAACCAAGGTCCTTTAAAGGGGCTAAATTTAAAATGGTTCTTTTTTTCTTAGGTGTATTTTGACCTTCGAATTGGAGATGAAGATGTAGGCCGGGTCGTCTTCGGTCTTTTCGGAAAGACTGTTCCAAAAACAGTGGATAATTTTGTGGCCTTAGCCACGGGAGAGGTAAGTGGCTGGTGCAGAAGTTGTCAACTCTTGCAGTAGGAATGGCAGCAGAATGCGGCCCATTTGAAGCAGTAGCCCTCTCTGAGGGCCAGTTGACTATGGCCATGGGAACCTAGTATTTTCATTTTTTTTCTCCCAGTACTGGGGATTGAACCCAGGAGTGGGCCACAGGAGTTATATTCCCAGCCCTTTTAAATTTTGAGATTGCGGGGGCGGTCTCATTAGGTTGCACAGGCTGTCCTCAAACTGTGTTTCTACAGCCTCCCAAGTTGCTGATAGTCACAGGCATGTGCCACCATATCCTGCTATAGGAGGTTTGTTTTTTGTTTTCATTTTTTTACAATACCAGGAATTGAACCCAGGGCCTGGCATATGCTAGGCAAGTGCTCTACCCACTGAGCTACATCCTTTGTCCTCATATTGCTGTATCTGTATTGTAAGAATAAGGAATGTTTTATCCTGGAATACTGCACAGTGTTTGAAGGCACAACCCCTTTAATGAAGTTTGTATTTCAACTTTGAGTTCAACTAGCAGATGACTTTTTTCCTTGGTCTCTGTTTCCTTCTATCTGATCTTGTGGTTAGAAGAAAAGAGGGGATAGGCATTCTATGAAATAGAATTGTATCAAGTCTGGCAACTGTACAAAGGCAGAGGAAGATGGAGTCTTGGCAGTTACTGGGTCTGTGCACTCTGGGTCTGGCCTACAGTTACTACTCACTCAGTAGCATGTTGAATATATTGGCCACTTCTGTGAGCAAGAATTGTGGGCTTGGTTCTTGCAGGGCTTATTTGATGTCTGCCTATATGATGTCTCATATCATCTCTTTACTTTCTCATTCCTTTTTTTAGAAAGGATTTGGATACAAAAACAGCAAATTCCATCGTGTGATCAAGGACTTCATGATCCAGGGTGGAGACTTCACGAGGGGAGATGGCACAGGAGGTAACCTCAAGTCTTCTGGGAAGAGGGATCTGTCAAGTTTATAGTTTCCCAGGTAGAAGGGTCAGGCTGTGCCAGACAAACAAGGTCCCTTCCTTCCCTAGCTCCAGGAGCAGGCCACTTAACTTGCATTGAGAACAGCTGCATCCTCTGCAAAGTGGACCAGTACAAAGGAGAGAGAGTGATGGGGGTTAGGTGGGCCTAAGAGGATCTTTTCCCTGTGCATACCTGCTGATACAGGCCTGTAGCCTGGTGACTTTTCTCCCCACCACGCCTCTATACTTTTGGAGTGGGGTAAGGAGGTGGCAGCAAAATGAAGACTTGTGGGGAGCATTTCCAGATCAGGTATGTACCACCTTGGAAGCCCCAGCAAGGGTGAGAGGTATTCTTTCCTTTGTGATTTCCCACCAGAGATCTCTGCATTACCTGTTTGCACAGGACAGAAATACAGATACCCTGGACTAACCCATGGGTCTTACTATGCTTGGGGACCCATCCAGCTGTTCCCTCAGACCGCAGGGAAAGGGCTGAAGACATGAAGATCAGCAGGACATCAGCTCCCTTTTTGTACCTGAAAATTCCCAAGTGGGACATATACAGCTTTTAGGACTCAGACTCTGTCCTCAATTTGTTTGTCATTGTCTTTCTAGAAGAAACTCTGAAAGCTACATAGCAACATAAGATTTAAGTAAGACAGAAGGAACTCAATGCAGCAAGTGGATAACAGGGCACAAAGCGGGATAATATAAATTGTTTTTGTGAGTTAGACATGGTCATGTTTGATCCAATATCTGCCACCTTTTTACCTTGTGAGCTCAGGCCAATGACACCTTGGAGCTCCTGTTTCCTCTTCTGTAATGGGAGTGGGGAAGCATAGGGCTGGAAGAATTAGAGTGAGATCCTGAGTGTTAAGTGCCTGGAGTGTGGTGAGTGCCCAGGAGGGTCAGCCATTGTTGAAGTATTGACAAACAGGAGGCATTGGATGCCAAGGTAATCAGGAAATGGCGTTGTGAACATGAGAGAAGATTTGAGCAAGGGTCCTAGGTGGATAGAGAAGAGGTAGGGATGAGGACTGAGTCCCACCCTGTTCTGTGGCAGGAGCTTGACAAAGGTGGGGTAGTAAAAATGGAATTAGAGCATACATCGGGGTGCAGAGAGGTGTGTTATGGCCAGGCACTTGGGCTTCGTGCTCTAAGGAGTGGGGACCTGCTAAAGGCTTGAATGGAAGCAATACCCATGCACAAAAGATTTGAGGGGAAATGATGTGACAGGATTTACTCTGTAGAGCCAAGAGCTAGCTGACTGCTGAGGAATTGGCACAGCTGTGCTCAGCAGGGTGGCTTGGGACCTAACCCTTGCAGATTATAGCCTAGTGGGTCAGAGCAGAAACTCCTTGGTTTGAATTCCAGCTTTGTGCTTCCTTTAACCTTTCTGCATCTTAGCTTCTTCATCTTTGAAACAGAGTTGTTATCCTGCCTCATGGGGTGGTTTGCTGTCAGATGCTTAGAGCAGTTTCTGGCACACCCTGTCCACACTCCAGGCATTGGCTGTTATTGCAGTGAGGGCTGCAGGGATGAAGAAAAGGATGAGTAAATGGGGGGTGGGGGGGGATAGAGACAGTATCAAGCAATGTGCACAGGAAAAATTTCCGAAGAATAAGTGATCTAGAGAGAAGGATGATGATGGATATTGGACCTAACCCTTTGAGTTTGGAATTCCTTGTATCTTAGGAAAGTGGCTGGAGATAAAGGATATAGATTTGGAGATTTTCTGGGTAGCAGCAATAATTGAAATCTTGCAGTTGGTTGAGACTTATAAAAAGGATCTTCAGGTGGGAACATCTCAGCCAGGAGTCACTGCAGGATTGTAGCAGTCTAGTCTCTGCCTGGTGTGGGAGTGAGGGGTGGAAAACAGACCAAAACACTTCTTCTCCATCAGTTGGTCCAGTCATTCTTGGTTTGGGGTCTTCCTGGCTGCTACACAATCAGCAACATCTCCCTGGTCGGCCTTATCTAGGGCAGTTTTCAGCTGGTTCCATCATTTGGAACCACAGGACAAACACAGGTGCATTGAGAATAGAAACAGTTTGTCATGTACAAGTGAATCAAATGATATCAGGTCAAACAAGGAAAATGGCTTTTTTAATGCTGGGTTTCTCAAGACCTTGAGCCTGTAGATGCACAGTATGAATCTCCAAGAGTGACTGAGAGAAAGAGGGTTCCATTGTTTCTCCTGGAACCATCTTTGAAACTAGGGTCTCAAAAGTGGTATATAGACTGTGGATCCAGTCCCTTTGTCATGTACCTGGCCCCAACCCCCATATGGACAGACACATGACACATATTCATAATTCATAAGCATCTTTTATTTTATGCCCATTTCATTGATAAGGAATTCTTTACTCTGCAGAACTCAAATGGCAGCCCTATCTTTTGCCTGCCCTGGTTCCTCCACACTCATCTCTGTCCTGTTTCTACTTTGCAACTATGTCTTTCCTGTCTTTTATTCTTAGGAAGACAAGTTGGTCAGCCACAACAGTCTTTTTCTAGAAAGTTCTGTCCACCAAAGGCTGTCCATGCAGGCCTGAGGTTACAGCCAAGGGTAGTTAATAATATGTGCCTTAGTTAAAAGCGTTAAAACGATCCTTACTGTACGCTGTGACCAGCCTGTCCTGATGCCTTGTTTGCTTTCAGTCTGCATGGTTTGGCTCTAGGCTAAGGGACAGGAAGGGGTCTTTATGTACCTCTCTAGCCTGGACTTGTACAGAGGACTGGTTATACCCCTCAAATCCTCACCCGAAAGGTCTGCCTGGTTTAGGCAAACCCAGATCCCCCATCTTCTTTTCTTTTTTCAGGAAAGAGCATCTATGGTGAGCGCTTCCCTGATGAAAACTTCAAGCTGAAACATTATGGGCCTGGCTGGGTGAGCATGGCCAACGCGGGTAAAGACACCAACGGCTCCCAGTTCTTCATTACTACAGTCAAGACCGCCTGGCTAGATGGCAAACATGTTGTGTTTGGCAAAGTTTTAGAGGGCATGGTAAGTTCTGGAGGCAGGGGCTAAACCTGGACAGTTCTCACCAGGGATTCAGCCCAAACCCTAGGGCAGGGGCTCCATGAATTTTATCTATTCACAAAAGACCCAACGCCGCAGATTCAGACCAGTGCTTGTGTCTGGAGAGAACATTCAAAAATAGGTAGCCTGGCCAGGCACCATGGTGCACACCTATAATCCCAGCTACTCAGAAGGCTGAGGCAGGAGGATCATGAGTTCAAAGCCAGCCTCGGCAACTTAGTGAGGTCCTAAGCAACTTAGCGAGACCCTGTCTCTAAATAAAACATAAAAATGGCCTGGGGATGTGGCTTGGTGGTTACGCACCCCTGGATTCAATCCCTAGAACCAATAATTAAATAAACCAAATAAATAAAAAAGATAAAACAGCCTGGCTGGGTGCTGGAGCACATAACTATAGTCCCAGCTACTTGGGAGGCTGAGAAGAGAAGATCACTGAGACTAAGAGTTTGAGGCCAGCCTAGGCAACATAGCAAGACTCCATTTCAACCAAAAAGAAGAGCACCTCTATCCCCCCACTGTTCTAAATCCCTCTAGGCCCTAGACAGGAGGCCTTGTAGAAGCTATTCAACTGCAGGATCACCCATTCCATCACTCAGGCAAGGTTGTGCAGACTCCCATCCTGAACTGTATAGGGTACAGCTGAACATGATGTCCCTGAGGAGTTACTTGGTACCTTGCTCCCTGGCCACTCCCTTCTTCCTCTTTATCCTTTGCCCAATATGGTCCTGAACAAAACTCTTGCATCCACTCATTGTCAAATCTATTCTTCCCACCCTGGCCTGGCACCCTAGCCATATATTCAGCAGAATTTTGGTGCCTCCATGTTTATATGCTGTTGATCCCATATGGGTCTTAGCCCTCCTGAGGCCTGTTGCCCATTGGTAGACCTCATGACTATCCTGCCCTACTGTTACCACCTTTCTTTTTCAGGAGGTGGTGCGGAAGGTAGAGAGCACCAAGACAGACAGTCGGGACAAGCCCCTGAAAGATGTGATCATTGCAGACTGTGGCAAGATCGAGGTAGAGAAGCCCTTTGCCATCGCCAAGGAGTAGGGCCCCAGGGACCATATCCCTCTGAGCAACCCCCTGTGCAGGCCCTGTTGCCCTCACTAGGGAAAACGTAGCCCGGCACAGGACTCCATGCTGCACTGGCCCTAGGGCCAGCATCTGATGGAGCGGACCCACTCCCCTCACATTCCACAGGCCCAGTTTTGTAACAAACTCAATGCTGACCAATTAAAAAAAAAGTGGGTTTTTTTTTGTTGTTGTTGTTGTTGTTGTTTTTATAATCTGCGTGTGGGCTGGGTTCTTGAACCTGTACTACATTCCCCAAGTGTGCATCCCAACATGTCGAGGATTTCTTGTAGCTCTAAAGGTGCTTCCTTCCTCAGGCTCCTGCCTGAACCTGTACCTAGATACTACCCATAAAATACTGGCTTCTAAACTTTGCAGATCTATGTCTCAGCCTTTACTACCCTTGCCATCTTCTGGTCTAGGTTAAGAAATACAGCTACAACTGTTACTTTCTCAGTCTACTCCAAATTGACTCCTCTCTTTATTCCTCAACTCCATGGACTTGCCTTGGCCCCTAGGCTCTAAGAGCACCTGAATTCTACCACCCCAGCTGCCAGTGCAAGCTGAGTTTAAGAGTAGTTAAGTCCTAGGTCTAGTCCAAAGGAGAATCCAGCCCTAGTTCTTATATGAAATTCAGGACAGGCACATGACTCCTGACAGGTGGCCCAAAGTCTTCTGGGCTGATCAAGGCATAGGTGGCAGAGGAGCTGGGTAACAGTCCAGTGTTGCCTGGGCTGATGCTGGGCTGGTACTGAATCCATAGAGGCCCTGGAGCACACCGTTCACCACCACATTTGGCAGAAGCTCTAGGATAAAAATAAAATGGTGGAGGGTGGGGAGTGGTGTGAGATGGGCCCGTCCTCAGGTCTGTGACTTCTTAAGCTTTTTCTTTTTCTTTCTTTCTTTTTTTTTTTTTTTTTTTTTTGTCACAGCTTCTGCGGCTCTTGGGAATAGAGCCCTTGCCAAGGTGGCAGATATCAGCTGTCCACCCAAATGAGGCATTGGCATTCCCTGGCCACAATCTGTTTACACCACACATCAGCTTGGTAAAACCAGGCCACTGGGGAATGCAGACTCAGGGAGCTAAGCTTATTTCACTAGTGTCTGCAAAGCAGGCTACAGGGTTAGAGGAGCAGCAGGTAGTGGCTCCAAAGAGATATCTGAGGGAGGTGCTGCCTGGAGGTCCCAGGAGCAGAGAAATAATAGGCCCACACCCACCCGGCCCTGGTACCCAAGCCCTAAATGCACACCATGGGTCAGGCACCTCCTAACCTGGAGAAGGAGTGGAAATGTATGGATCCATGCAAAAGCTGATGACAGGCCGGTGGTGCAGCTGTGAGCTGGGAAGAAAGGGTCATGAGCTGTGGCGGATGGAGAGAAGGCAGGGCAAAATCCCATATGGAGTGGAGACTAAGGACTGAGATCACCAAAGACCCACAAAGGAAAAGGTGAGTAGGAAATGGATTCTGGAGGCATCAGCAGGGAAAACCTGGACCACAGGGACAGGACTGGCCCCAGGCTGCAGGCCCACCTCCTACTATGCAGCCACCAGGGGGCAGCAGGAGGTAGACAGGCCAGGGCTTTGACTTGCCTGCTGTCCCTAAGCAGGAATTCCCCCAGGGTGCTGAAAAGAAGAGAGAGACTGTAAGCTGCCTGGGGATGGCTGGGAGGTGAGGGTGAGGTGGAGACAGCCCAGAACTTCAGTCCCTGGGGACCACTGCTTCTATTTGTAACAAGCCAGTTCCGGAGGTAGAGGTAGCTGGTGTAATGAAGGCTGTCCAAAAAACAGCCCCTCCACCAGGGTCAAGAAAGCTGATAAGGGAGGTCATGTCTCCCAGAGAGAGAATCAGGCAAGCCAGGGCCTGGAAGATGTGAGAAGAAAGAGGGCTAACCCTGAAAAACTTTCCTCGCTTGCTGCCAAGTGTCCCTGCCCTCCCTGAACACTGGCCCTCCTTACCCCCAGCTACTGGTCTTGGGGTCACTGGGGAAGTGGCGGAGTCTCAGGAATTCCAGTAACTCCTTGGGCACATCCTGGTTCAGGTACAGGATGCCCTAGAAAGGAGGACAGAGGAAACCATAATTAGACCCAGCTACTAATTTACACAGCCCAGTGCAAATGAAAATGTGAGACACTTAGTTCCAAGTAAGAAGTTCAAGGCGGTGAGAGCAGAACAAGACTCTTTTGAGTGCTGGGCCCTGTATGATTGCACAGGTTAGGGCCCAGTAAAGTGGTCCAGTCTGCAGTCACACATCACTGTTGTGGGCAAGAACCTCCACTGGTATTGCACCATAAGGGTGCCTCAGAATTTACCCTGGAAAGGAAGGGAACTAGCTTTCATTGAGTTGGGACTACCTGCCCTCTGCTTGCCTCACTCAATCCTTTCAACAATCCAGTGAGGGATACTGGAACTCACGACTGTTCAGAAAATTGAGGCTGGGGTAGTGAACAACCCCCCCCCCCAAGTTGTGAGAGCCCTCCCATATCACTGTTTTCTATCTGGGTCACACCCCTTGTCCAGCAGGCTGGGGGCAAAAGAATATGCCCCTCGCACACCTGGATATAGGCCTCCAAGCCCTGCCGGCGCTGTTCCAATCCTCTGGTCCTCCAGTTGGGCAGGCGTTTCGATGGGAAGTCAGGCACTTTGTACAGTTTCTTGATCTGCCGGGAGGTTACAGAGGCGCCATCACGTATCCCAACAGAGCCCCTTAAACCCACTTGAGCCTAGACAAGAGTCCTCTCTGGACCCCTCTCCAGGCCCTACCCTAGTGAGTGGTGATTGGGACAGGGGTGAGGGTCGCCTGTAAGCCGGGTGGGCACACAGGGATAAGGTCAGTGTGAGCTGGAATCGGCCCCTTTGCGCCCTCTCCACACCGGACCTTGCAGCCAGTGGGCAGTCTGTCTAGAATCTGCGGCCTTCAGATGCTCGGGTAGTAATGGGGGTGGCTGAGGCTGGGACTAGAGCTCTTCAGCCTTCCACCCAGGGGTTAGACCGGGATCAGTCGATTGTCCGCGCCGCCTCACCCGTTTGTGCAGTGCATGGAACTCGCTGTAGCGCCTTGGCACCATGTGTCTGCGCCCGCTGCACAGCACCTCCACTCGGAACACCTGGCGGGGAGAGGTGCGCATGAGGCTCCTCCGCAGGATGCTGCGAGGCCAGCTCTCAGCGACGCCCCCACCCTCCGGCTCTCAAAGGCACAAAGCGGACTTGGAGCGCAGACGCTCTCCGGGTAATCTCCTGCTCCGCCAAACACCCAGGAGAAAAAGCTGGCAGACCCTCCCTTCTGCTCCACGCGTTCCCCCAAGAGCGCAAGCCACCACCACCCGGAGGCCGGCTAATCCAAGCAGTTCCGAAACCCTCAAGTCGGGGTATCCTCAAGTCGGGGTATCCCGGGACTGTGATGGGAACCCGACCTGGAACTATAGGTCCCTATTGCTCTGGGCGTAGAGAAATTCGGCGGATCCCTGCGCCCCTTTCCAACTAGTGGTTCTGCTCACCATGTGTCCTTTCTCTGGGCTCTGCCTGGGCCCCTCGGCCTCGGGCCCCACCGACGGGATGCGAACTTCCAGCATCCGCTCCCGGGCACCAGCTGCGTCCCCTCCTCAAGTACTGCTCCGAGCGCGAGCCCCGGGGTAGCCGCCCGCGGACCCTGCGCGGCCGCCCCGCCCTTCGAGCCCTCAGGCCCCGCCCCAGACCCAGCCCGGGGCGTCCCCAGCACAGCCCGGTCCTGAGCCGACAAGATTAGGCAGGGCGCGGGCTGGAGGTAGCCGAACGCCGCCCCTTCGGTATGGAGGGGCCACAGCGCAGGGGGAGGAACCCTCAGCAGAGAGTCATCGGTTTGTCAAATATTTACTGAACGCCCGACTGCCAGGTACGCGGGCAAGCCAAAATTTCACCTGTTCTTTGTTGAGCGTCTACCAAGGACTCCAGTCTGTGGCGCCTGGCTTGGGCGGAGGCGTCTGCCCAGCGGACGATCCCCGGAGGTTCCTTGCTTTCCTCAGACCTTTCCCCTGGACCAGGCCGCCCCGTCTCCTTCCCTCCTTTCAGCCTGACCTTTGGGAGCACGGCCGGGAGACTCCAGCTGAGACCATGGGTAAAACGTGGGTCAGTACAGCTTTGTCGTCCCCTTTCCCCAGAATCCACAGGCCCCTTCATTCATTTTTTTTCTTCTATCCCTCCATTCATATTTTTCAACCTTAACCTGTTCTAGGGACATTTTACAGGGAAGAGGTAATTTAGGAACCCAGGCTCTACTCTGGAGATCAGTCAGAATGGTATCAGAAACTGTGTAGACCTTGGGCTGGGGATGTGGCTCAAGCGGTAGCGCGCTCGCCTGGCATGCGTGTGGCCCAGGTTCTATCCTCAGCACCACATACAAACAAAGACGTTGTGTCTGCCGAAAACTAAAAAATAAATATTAAAATTCTCTCTCTCTGTGTAGACCTTTGCTTACGTGCAAAATAGAAACAATATGCCTCCCAGGGCTGGGGATGTAGCTCAGTGGTAGAGAGCTGGCCAGTATATGTGATTCCCATGTGCCACCAAAAAAAAAAAAAAAAAAAAAAAAAGGAAAGAAAGAAAGAAAAGAAAAAAGAAAAACCACACCTCCTTCAGGAGAGTGTATAACAATTGAGCAAAGCCAGGTGCACACCTATAGACAGACCCAGTTACTTAGGAGGCTGAGGCTGAGGCTGGAGGATGGCTGGAGAGCAGGAATTAAAGGCCAGCCTGGGCAACATAGGGAGACCCTCTCAAATAAATGAGATGATGACCCATGTTAAGCCCTTAGCACAGCAGATGTCTGGTAAACAGCAGCTTGATTGTAGGCTTGCCCTGGAGAGAGGTTGGGTGATGAGTAAGAGAGGTAGGTAAAGGCAGTGAACAGGAAAGGACTGTGGGAGGTGGCACCAGGCTGCTCTTGCCTATCTTTCTCAGTAGGGTCAACTGGCAATGTGGAAATATTTAAATAGAACTTTTTCCACCCAATATGCTGAAAGGGCCTCTGCTCCCATCTCTTTGCCACACCCCTCAACAGCAGAGCTGCTTCCACTCAGTAGCTCCATAACAGGAGCCCTCTATCTCACTGACTTCCCCTGACAAAGGAACCTGAGGTGAAGATGCGATACCCTTCCCCTCAAGAGCTTGCACCTACCACCTGGTAGGAGGCCTGGTGGAGAGGGGAAGACAGAGTGCCTTTGATGGACTCACCTCTCTCCTTCAGAGCGGGAGCAGAACATATGCATTCCCAGCCCAGCCCCAGAGAGGAGCTCAGAGGATGACCCCCTAATGGGGGCAGGTATGTCTCATGTGTCCCACATATTCTCCTTCCAAATTCCATCACACAGGGGCCCCAGAATCAGGAAGCTGAAACTTCCTGCATCCTGGTATGGTCCCCTGGAAGGGAAATGACCGACACTGAGGAGAAGTGGTGTGGTTTCATTTCCTCCCTGGCATTCTAGGGCCCCAGCTCCTCCTTGACCTTCAGGGCCTACCAGTGCCTCTGTTCAGGACACCATCCTAATGACCATTTGCCCTCTGTCTCTGGATCTCCCTGCTTTTCCTTGCCTCCCTCCCCAGTCAATATAAGGTTTATTCTCTATCCTTCTATACAAACTATTAAAGCCAGGCTTCAGCCATAGTGACCTTCCTCTAGTTCTTCAAACCTGACAAGTTCTTTTCTTGCCTCCGGGACTTTGTCTTTGTTTTTCCTATCCCTGGAACAGTCTTCCTTGACTTTTAGCCTGGTGGATTCATCTTCTAATTCTGAGCATAAGCTTACCTCCTCAAAGAGGCTTCCTTCCTGACCCCATCATATCACTTGGTCCATGCACATATTAAGTCTGTAATTATTGTTTATTATATGTCTCCACAGTGCCAAGTATTTAGCATAGGTCTTTGGTGGGTAGAATGGACATTCCTGTAACAAAAGACAGGTTAATAAGAGAAAAGCATAGCAAAATTTATTTAATTAAAGTTTAATGTGATATGGGACCCTTTCAAAATGAAGGCCCAGAGACCCAGGGGTCTTCATTTCAAGGTTCATGCTTAAGTCTGATGAAGCATGAATAGTCACATAGAAACATTTTTGGACAAAAAGGGTATGATGGATTAAGCGGGAAGTCCAGCATGGCTTGTCCAGATTCTTCTCAGCCTCTGTGCATCATCATTCGTTTCTCCTGGATGTGGAGCAAGATTCCTCTGGAATAAGGGTGTTCAAGGGGGCTGGGGATGTGGCTCAAGCGGTAGCTCGCTCGCCTGGCATGCGTGCGGCCCGGGTTCGATCCTCAGCACCACATACAAACAAAGATGTTGTGTCCACCGAAAACTAAAAAATAAATATTAAAAGAAAATTCTCTCTCTCTCTCTCTCTCTCTCTCTCTCTCTCTCTCTCTCTCTCTCTCTCTCTCTCGTGCGCGCACGCGCTCTCACTCACTCTCTTTAAAAAAAAAAGGGTGTTCAAGGGAGAAGGGAAAGGGTAAATAACCTTTCTAGGTTTATGGTTTGCTTTAGGGGAATAGGGTTCTGTATTTTTGTTTTTGATATGAGGGATTGAACCCAGGGCACTCTACCACTGAATTACATCCTCAGCCCTTGTTATTTTTTATATTTCGAGACCGGGTTTCCTAGGTTGTCCAGACTGGACTTAAATTTGTGATCTTCTTGCCTCAGCTGCTCAAGTAAACTGGGATTCCAAGTGTGTACCACTACACCTTATGTGATTCTAGTTTCTGTGACCCATTTTGGAGAAGAAAAATTCTGATTTCTGTAGCTCACTTCAGGGAAGAAAGTAAGGGCAGGAGGTCAGAGAGACCTTGCTCTTAGGCCCTTCCAGTCTTTTTATTTTATTAATTAATTAATTTTTGGTGTTGGGATGAAACCCTTGCACATGCTAAGCACACACTATCACTGAGCTACATCCCCAGCCCCCAAATCCTTTATTTCAAAATATTTAGCACTTAAGGGTGCCATACCTTGGAGTTTCATGTTCTGAGCCCTGATATACTAAAAACAAAAAACTGTTGATTGAAAGAGTATATGAATGAGAATATGTAAGATTGAATGTATTATGTATAATTATAAAGCACCAATAAAATTTAAAAAAAAATAAAAAGGCTAAATGGGGAGGTAGAGCAAAGGCCGGGGAGGGGAGAGAAGGCCTGGGAGAGAGGTGCAGAGGGGACAGAGGTTGCTGAAGGGCTAGAAGGTCTGCTGCAAGGGGATTACAAGAACCCTTTTTCCATCTTAGGGTTAGACATCCATCTCTGCCTCTCTCTTTTGGTGGACTGGTGTTCATTTTATTCATTTGACTTAATTTCCAGATGTTCCTGAGAAGCTTCAGTGGCTTTTCATTGCCTTTTCATTGAGATTCAATACAAATGACTTGAAAACATCCTGTAGTAAACATGCAGGTCCCTAATTCTACAGTGTCCTGTGATGCAAAGGTGCAGGTCCAAATATGGAGAAACAAGATCCTGGACTTGGAGGTATTATTTACAGTGTCTTTGAGGAGATAGAACAAGTTATGGGCAATATTGTCCTATAAAGAGCAACACATGGCATGATATAAATTCCAAAGCAGTTATTACAATCAGAGGAAGAGTTTATTTTCTGTATACTTTAAGCATTGGTCAGTGTGGCAAATGAACACTGTTAAATTCCAGGCTTATATGATGGGTGTAGAGACCTCAAAGTGACTTCTATTTTTAGAATGAGTTGTTTTACTATAGAATCTCTGTCTTTTCTCCATCACTGTCTAGTATATGAATTTAATTTCTAAGTTGCTGAGTGAAAATTGCCTAAAAGTATTAATTGATCACATTTTCTTGATCTAGATTATACAGCAATAGTTTTCAAGTTTTCACAGTCAGTATTATTCCCTAGAGGTCCTGCCTGACAATCTCAGATTTTAGGGCCCCAACCCCATATTTTCTTTTTTTGGGGTACCAGGGATTGAACTGGGGGACTCAAGCACTGAGCCACATCCCCAGCTCTATTTTGTATTTTATTTAGAGACAGGGTCTCATTGAGTTGCTAAGTGCCTCGCTGTTGCTGAGGCTAACTTTGCAATCAGAAAATATGGGGTTGTGCTGGGTGTGGTGGCACATGCCTGTAATCCCAGCGGCTGGGGAGGCTGAGACAGGAGGATTGGGTTCAGAGCCCTACGTGGTGCCTAATCGTGGACATTTTCAACAGTTCCCTGGGGATGCCCCGTGTGTTCCTGGGGACCATGTAGTAGACATCGGACTCCCACACCAGCCCCTCAAGGGACTGTGCTACACTGGCTGCTTGACAGTATCATGGCTTGAGCAAAGGGCAGGACATGCTGAGGTGAAGATGTTCCCCAACACAGCCCTGCTCCTGTGGTGGTCCTGTGGGTTGGCTGGCCTGCGCTTCTGCCATGCCTTGGCTGGGCCCTCACCCTCCACCATTGCTAACAAAACCACTGCACACAAAACCCCCTTTCACCCGCAGCTCCACCCCACAGCTCCAAGGCTGCTCAGGAGGTTTGGTTAACCCCGTTAAGAAAACAAATAGCTCCTGGGCAGGGCAGGCAAGCGGGTGCTGCTAGACACAGAGGCTGGATTCTTCTCTGGGAGTGGGTGGGTGAGCCAGAGGGAGGGGCCAACCATGGGAGGCTGCCTGAGCAAGGGTAGGCCTTGCCTGCCCCACCC